GAGCGTTCGATCTACTTTCTCTGTTTGCGGCTCTTCCTGCTAATATGTGCTGTGCTCTACTTGAGCAATGTCTGCAACTGCTATGCCCGCGCTATGTCCGTGCTATGTCATCTCCCTACACCATCTATGTTCGTGCTATGCCCCTGCTATGTCCTGCGGTGTCAATGCTATGACCGTGCTATGCCATCTCCCCGCACCRCCTATGTTCGTGCTATGCCCGTGCTATGTCATCTCCTGCGATGTCAATGCTATGCCCGTGCTATGTCATCTCCTGCGGCGTCAATGCTTTGCCCGTGCTATGTCATCTCCCTGCACCAGCTACGTTCGTGCTATGACTACTGCTTGTCTGTCTRKTCCAACCAATTCAATTAGCAGTCGAATCTGGACAGGACGACCTGAGTATTGCGGGAACCCCCTCAACCCTCAGACGAGGGMATGTGCGGGAGCTGCACCTAGCAGCCRGTGGGCGATACCGGCCCGGGGTCAGCCTGTAGCRTCAGGACACCGCGCGTTCCTTGGGCCAGTCGCTGTGCAATACTCAGGGAAGTTGCGCTGAGTCTTCAGARAGTTTGCGCTTACRTTGCAGCCRATCGTGATKGCATGCTGCTTTCACGSAATCCCGRCGCTCCCTYRGTGTATAATCACGACTCTGCGTCGAAGACTCATTACGCACGAATAGACCGCCTGGTCCGTATTTCGAACGCCCCCCCWAAAACGCAGCTATAACGACCGTACGTACGTTGTCTTCGGGGGCGGATGGTCGATCGTGCGCGGCGCTGCATGGACGAGTGCCAAATAACGAATGGAATGGACTACCGGAATTTCCAGCTCTCGAGACCTCGAGACTTTTTTTTCTTTCTCTTGGACGTCAGTGTGTGTGGACTTYTTTTTTTCGGGGGACTGTTTCTGGACTACCTACTTGTGTAATCCGCTTAGTACTTGTTTGCACTTGAAGTCCAACTCTTTTTCTCGTTCTGAGCTGGGCACGCAGCTGAATCCGACTCTTCTCTTCACCTCTCCTTCTCCTGCGTCTTCGTTTTCTCCTTTTTTTTTTCTTTTGGTACTCTTTTATAATTGATGCATTGACACCCAGGGCCAAGTCCCATTAGCCGCATCGAGTTTCCTCTACTCCCGAATGTGGACGTGTTCCTCGAGATGTGCAGACACTGGCAATTGAGTTTGGGAGATGTGCAGAAAMTGGAATGATTGAGTTTGGGAGATGTGCACAAACCGGCCTCCACAAACACGTCCAGATTCATGCACYGAGGRAACTTAAAACCTTTCCCAGCAAAAACGCCCAGACGTGCCGGTTAGCACAGAGGCCTCACTTCCTTGTCTTCYTGGGTTGAGTTGTTTACTGCAATCTTATGAATTGTACTTGATTCGAAGGTGGGTCTGCATTTCATCCAGTTCCATCATCCTCATTCGAACTTGGATCTGCATTTCAGCAGTTAATTAGTGTATCAACTGAGCTAAGCTGTGTGTGTGTGTGTGTGTGTGTTTGTGTGTGTGTGTGTGTGTGTGTGTGTGTGTGTGTGTGTGTGTGGGCGCATCCTTGCAGGCTGGTGGCCCAGGTGAGTCCAGAGTAATGTGCCAGACTTCCTGACGGGGATCACAACTGATTGAGAAATCAAGGAAGAAGACAACGCAGTTTTCAACATAAGAACGAAGTCTAGAACCGCATCATGACAAGGGGAGTGGGCAACATGTCTTCACTGGTCTTCTTCACAGTGATCGCGCTACTGCTCGCTGTTGCATTTGTAAATGTTAGTGCTTCTAGGCCTGGCGATGACCATCCGAAACCATCAGGGCCATTAGGCTGCACGAAAGACAGTCAGTGTTCCCTTAACGACAAATGTTGTAACGGAGACTGCAAGAAGTGTTGCACCAATGCCCACTGCGCGTCGGGAAAGAAGTGTTGCAATGGCCAGTGCAAGCAATGCTGCGTCAACAGCAACTGTGGCACTGGAAAGAAGTGCTGCAAAGGAGTCTGCACCAGTGCCAAGTGCTGATCGAACGCCCACTGCGGGTCCGGAAAGAAGTGCTGCAATGGCCAGTGCAAGGTGTGCTGCTCTGGCAGCAGCTGTGTTCCAAAAA